GAGAGAGGGAGAGGGAGAAAGAGGGGGAGGGGGGGGGGGGGGGGGGGGGATAGATGGAAGTTGAAGACATTGTAAAGGGTGAGGGACGGGGACATGGCAGTGCAGCATAATTGGAGTTGGAAGGGGCTAGTGAGGCTATGTTATTTTTTTAAAATTATTTGTTTCATAACATGATTATGTTCGTTTTAACAAATTTAAATTTTATTGTTATAGGGAATTGACCGAAATACCATTAAACTTAACAAAAGGTTTAACGGAGTTAGCCGTAGGTGGTACATTGCAACGCTATATAAAATTCAAGTGGTTAATAGTAGAAATTAAAAGTTCAAGTGGAATCGCACACAAGTTTAAAAATTTAGGTGATATTTATGCAAATTTCCCTTAAACAAAACACTACTTAAACAGGCCCATTCCCTGAAAAAACCAAAATTCTATTAGATAAAAGTTTAGGGAACTGTAGAGAATGTGGTACCAACCTTCGAACCCAAGACCACTAGGAGTTAGTGCAACTTCTTCCTCTATCCAATAACCAAACCAAGTGTCCAACCAAACCCGTACTTATAGACTTTAATCAATTAGATCAAATTACAAGACAGTTTTGCACTGTGGCAGTTCCAAGACATAATTGCATTGGAGCAGTTACCTTTGTTCGTGGATTGGGCTTTATTGGGCCGCTTTGTGCAACATTTGTTCATTATCTATTGGCCTAAATTTGCTTGTTTGTTGTTGCTGATGAGCAAGTTTTACTGTGGTACTCTTTTTTCTTGACCGAATTTTCCTTAATTTGGAAGTTTTTTAAGGCAATATTTTAATGGGGCGACAATTGCTCCATCATTGGATCTAGTCACTCATATATATATATATATATATATATTTTGGGTAGTTGTGTTCTTTTTTTCGTTTTCTTTGTTTCCTCGCCATTACTTTAGGCTGCGGATCTTTTTAAGATCACGTTCTTGTTTCTGGCTTTCTCATTGGGTTTTGGATGTTTTCATCATCTCCATTGTTTACTCTTAGAGCATCTCCAGCGCCAGACCCAAACTGGGGGAAAGACAGCCCTGGCGAGCCCAAGACAGCTCCAGCGCAGCATCGGTAGCCCAGTTTCGTGGTGGGTCCCACCAGCCCTGGAGAGCCCAAGGGCAAGTCTTGCCTGGGCTGAAGCTCAAGTCTTGTGACGTCAGCCTCCAACGGGCGCTTGTCACATGGCGCGACAAGGACTCTCGGATGGTGTTTTTTTCCAGAAATCCGATGGTCCTAGTTTTTTTGGCTTAAAAAATTGCAAAAAAATTCGAAAAAATTCTGACATTTTTTTAAAAAAATACCCAAAAATTATGTATTTTTTCTCTATAAATACCTAACCATTTTATTTACTTTCCACACTAAATCTTCATGCAATTTCTTCTCCATCCAATATTTTTTACTCTCCACTCACATTATTCACTTTCCACACCAATTCTCCATAAAAAATTTTCTCTTTCCAATATTTTTTTTTATCTCCACTCACATTTTTCACTTCCACACCAATTCTCCATACAAACTCTTCTCCTTCCAATATTTTTTACTCTCCACTCACATTTTTCTACTGCTTTCCATTTGTATAAAAAACCGAATGGCATCTTCTGTCGAAGTCGGAGGCTCGTGGTCAACAAATGAAGATATTGCGTTGTGTCAATCTTGGGTGAACATTAGTCATGACCCTATCACAGGCAATGAGATGAAGTTTCATCACATGTGGAGCAAAATTCATGGAGAATTTTGTCAAAGATCGGGTTATACTCAAATTGAAATGACATTGTCTAGTATATGGAAACTTCTGAATAAAGAGTTAGGGAAATAAAGAAATGCCTTGACAAAAGCAAAGGCGAACATTCGAAGCGGTCAAAATTTGACCGATGAGGTAAAATATTTATAATTGCAATTTTAATCAATTTAATGTCACTTTTTTTTTATTGCATATTCTATTTATTTTTCTTGCATAATCTTTTTTTTTTCTTGGTGCTCCTTTAATTTGTCTATATTTTCTTGCATAATCAATTTTATTTTTGCATTTCAAAATAGTTTATTTCTTGCATAATAATTTGTGTTTCTTGCACTTCCAATTATTTATTTTTAATAGATCATACAAGCACAAATGTGGTTCTGTGTCATGGGGCAAGGCAAAAAAAGTTTCGTGCATTTCCATTGTTGGGAAATTGTGAAGGATTGTTCGAGATTCAAAATTATTCCCACCGGTCCGCCGGTTGTGATGAATGAGACGCCATTCCACGATTCGACATCAACCGATTCGCCATTGGATTCCCCAGTGGAAACGGAGTCACCATTTATGCCACGTCCGCCGAGACCTATTGGGAGAAAGGCGGCAAAGGCCAAGAGAGGGGCTTCGACCACTGAATGTGTACAATTATTGGAGCAAATAGCTAAGAACACCTCACTAAGAATGGAGAGAGACTTGAAAAGAGATGAAATGGACGTGGCACGAGAGGAAGCATTTGTTATTCAACAACAGAAGGCACAAGAAAAAGACATAGATGATAGAGAGATGAAAATTATGGCCATGGATACGAGCCATATGTCTCTCGAAACAAAGGTCTATTGGAAGCTACGACGAAGAGTTGTGATGAGAAGAAAACTTTTCCATGACGACGGACCTAGCAATACGGATTGGTTAAATGATGAAAACCATTAGGTTGTATTGAAACACCTTTGCCATATGTTGTATTGTTGTATTGTTGTATTATCCTTTAAATTGTTGTATTGTTGTATTATCCTTTAAATTGTTGTATTGTTCTATTATCCTTTAATTTGTTGTATTGTTCTATTATCCTTTAATTTGTTGTATTGTTCTATTATCCTTTAATTTGTTGTATTGTTCTATTATCCTTTAATTTGTTGTATTGTTCTATTATCCTTTAATTTGTTGTATTGTTCTATTATCCTTTAATTTGTTGTATTGTTCTATTATCCTTTAATTTGTTGTATTGTTCTATTATCCTTTAATTTGTTGTATTGTTTCCTTTTTATTCAATAAAAAAAGCATTAAATAATATGACTATTTATTAAAAGCATTTGAGCATCAAAACAAATATTAATTAAAAACAAACCTTCATTTATTGCAAACAACACACAAAACAAACCATACATAAAAGCATAATAATAATAAAAAGCATAATTCAAAAAAACACCACTCACAAAATAAAGCATAATTAAAAACAAAGCATAATTCCAAACAAAGCACTAATTTTGACTTCATCCATTGTGACTGCCTTTCATCTCTCACAAGTGCTCGACCAAGTCAATTTGACGTATCTCGTGAACATATGAAGATTGCATTTCTTCATACCGATCAATCATGGGGTTATTGAATTGACCATCCCGAAGTAACGGTTCGGGCTCCAGAGGTAGTCCATTTGGTCCAATCGGCTTTTCATATATTCTTGTCAACTCCGTGTTCATGGGATCGGGTTCAAACACCTCTGGAGCAAGTCATCATAATACTCCGCAGCACCTCTTCATCTAGCATCCGAGCAGCACCCCTAATAATTGCCCAACGAGCTTGCAAGATATCGAAACACCTCTCAACGTCTTTCCTGTAACCTTCTTGAAAGGAAGCAAAGTTTCTTTCTTTCTCGGATTGGGGATTCGGAATTGTTTTCACGAATGTCGTCTACCTAGGATAAATTCCATCGGCAAGGTAGTACGCACCAGTGTATACTGTATTGTTGATTTGGTACGTGACCTGGGGGGAATGACCTCGCAATACCTCGTCGAAGACCGGGGATTGACCAAAGACATTGAGGTCATTCTGAGATCCGGCAACCCCGAAGAAGGTATGCCAAATCCAACAGTCGAATAAAGCTATGGGCTCCAAAATTATACTTTTTTGGCCCTTCTGATTCCCGTACTCTCTTTGCCAAGCAGTAGGAAAATTCTTCCACTGCCAGTGCATGCAATCGATGCTTCCAATCATTCCTGGGAATCCTCTAGCCTCGCCTTTTTGTAGAAGCCGTTGCAGGTCGCTCGACGTGGGTTTGCGAAGGTACTCACTCGTGTACAAATTTTCCACTGCATCACAGAATCTCACCAAGCACTCTAGGATAATAGATTTTCTCATCCTTACAATCTCATCCACCTGCTCTGCAGATGCTCTATAAGCAAGTATCCGCAAAGCAGTTGTAAGTTTTTGCTCCGGGATAAGACCCAAAGCTCCAACAGCATCATGCTTTTGAATGAAGTATGTGTCGTAATTACAAATATCATGCATGATTTTTTGGAACAAATGTGGCTGCATTCTATATCTCTCTCGAAACTTAGAAGCAGGATATAACGAATTTGGGATAAAATAATCCTCCAAGAGATTCTTACCCCGAGACTCTCTATGTCTGTCCATATTCGGGACACGACGACGACGGTGTTGCCTTGATTGATCCATCATACACACCGTTGCTGCAAGCATTTGTTCCTCTTCTTCATCGGCGTCCTGATCTTCTCGAACACGTCTACGCCAGATTTCTTCACTTTGTTTATGTTGCCTCTCCAACACCCTCGACAAGTTTAACATTGAGAGTAGAATGTGTTTTCTAAAATATGAGAAATGAAAGGAATAGATAAAATATGGTGTGATAGGTATGAGTTGATGGTGCAGTTTCTAGAGGGATTCAGAAGATAGAGATGACACGTAGTGCAATTTTAGAGGGGAGAAATTCTATCTGAAATTTGAGATTATAATTTTTTTTTAATATCTGAAAATCTTATCTGACATGGGACACGTGGCACAATTTTAGAGGGTGAAAATCTTATATGAAATATGAGATTATAATTTTTTTAAAATATTTGAAAATCGTATTTGACATGGTACACGTGACACAATTTTAGATGGTGAAAATCTTATCCGAAAATTTAATTACAAAAGATTATTAAAATTAATAGTTTAAAGTATAAAAAAATAGGAAATAAAGTACAATGAATAGTATTTGCCTTAGACTTGCCCTAGACTTTGCCCTCATGGATGGAACCACAAATGTAAACTATAAAAAAATAGGAAATAAAGTACAATGAACAGTAATTGCCTTAGATTTGCCATAGACTTTGTCCTCATGGATGGAACCACAAATGCAAAGGCTGACACTATTTACGTGAATAGTGGCAACTCTTGCTTGCCTTTGCCTTAGACTTATAGCTACCCCACCGGTCAAGCCCAGCCCAAGGCTGGGGAAAAAAAAAATTGCGTTCCAGCAGACAGCCCAGGCCCGGGGGGGTGTGAGACCCACCAACTCGGGCTGGCCGGAAGGCTACTTCCGCCCGAGGTCCAAAACGCGGGAGGTGAAGTCAGCGCGACGCAGCTCCAACGTCTGGAAGCCACGTGGCACACCCCCAGTGCTCCAATTTGGTTCTACAGCCTTCATCCAACGGCTGTCGTTTTTCCAGCAATAAAATTATGAAAAAAATCTAATTTTTTTTATAAAAAAAATACTAAAAAATACTTTAAAAATCTGATTTATTCCCTATAAATACCTATCAATACCCTTCACTTTCAACACCAGGATGTTTCTTTGTGTGAGGCTTGGCTCCGAGTTTGTCAGTGTCCTGTGACAGGCAATGAGATCAAATTTTTTCATATGTGGAAAAAAATTCATGCCGAATTTTGCGAAAAAATTCCGGAGTCGCCTCGTACGGAAATGACATTGTCGAGTAGGTGGAAACTTCTCAACAAAGAGATGGCAAAATGGAGAGATGCCTTGGCAAAAGCGATGAACTTGTATAGAAGTGGGGAAAATCGTACTAACGAGGTAAGTATTTTGTAATTTTCGTTTTATTAAGTTTAATGTCCTAATATATATATGTTGTTACGTTAATATTTAGGGAGTTTCACTAAAACACCCAAAATGGAGGTTGAAATTATAAAAAAACCCAACACCCAAAACACTTTATAAACACACCCAAAACCCATCATTACACACACTCAAAACTCATTTATAAACACACCCAAAAAGTTGAC